TTAATTTGACCAGAGAGGGACAGAGAGAGAGAGAGAGAAATTGAGAAAGCAAGCCGCCAGGTCTGGGATTTGAACTACAGTCAGCCATGTGGGAGTCCAGCACTTTAACCACCACACCAACTGGTGCACCACCGCCCCCAATTTTTTTATTTTATTTTTTAAGGTTTTTGCTACAGGGTGTGTGCATTTGCTGGAGTGGACAGAGACAAAGAGAGGGAAAGTGAGAAATGACTGGGGTTGACCATCCGCAATCCCTTCTCCATGCTCCTCTTGGGATATTGGGCATGCATGTACATGTACACAGAGTGATTTTTAAGCCACCAGGTCTGAGACTCAAACTGTGGTCGGCCATGTGGGAATCCAGCCGTTTTAGCCACCACACCACCTGCTGGCCCTAAAGTCAGATTTTTTGACAAACATCAAAATTATAGATCCTCTGTTATCTGGGATTTTAAGTAAGCATTATGCCTAAAAACAAATAAAGTACAATCATATGCCTTATCAAACTACACATTCCCTCTTAGAGGGTCTGCATATGTCTTCCCAAGTGAAGGTCATAGCTTTAGTTATACTAAATGACTTACCCTTCTGTATGCACATTATTCTCCCCACCTTTGTTTTTATTCATGCTATTCCCTTTACTTTGACTATTCTTCCCACTGTTCTCTGCCCCTTTTTTTTGGGGGGGGGAGAGATTTTCGCTATAGGGCACGTGCGCTCGCCAGATAGAGACAGAGACAGAAAGCGAGAAATCACCCCCCAGGGGGGATGGTCACGCCGCCATCCCTTCTCCTCCATTCTCCTCTCGGGATCTTGGGCACGTACGCACACGCGCCCAGCGTGAGTTTTAAGCCACCGGGTCCGGGACACGAACCGTGGTCGACTACGTGGGAGTCCAGCGACATAGCCATTACACCAACTGCTGGTTCCCTGCCTAATTATTTTTCATCCTTCAGCTCAAGCAGTATGTGACAGTCTTCCCTGAATTCTTCACTTCCCTAGTATGGATTCTCTGCCCAATATCTTATGCTGATCTCTACCACTGAGCTGTATCATATGGTGCTCTTCTCCTCCACTCGATTTATTGTAGGACACTAAAGTGCTATTTCAGTCAACTTGGTATGAACAGTGACCTGATGAAGCTAAGAGAGGGGACACATCAGCAAGCAGAAATGGGAATCTATACTCAGGACAACTTAGTTGAGTTTGGGAATCAACAGCAACCAGAAAACTTAGGGACAACTAAGCTTCCAGAGGATTTCATGGTACAGATAATTACACCCAGCAAATATAGAAATTGAGGCCTAAACAAGCAACCTCATCCATATTACTTGGTTAGTCCTTAAGATGGACAGCTCTTAGTGACAAGTCCTATGCACTCTTCTTCTACCATACTGAGAAGTCTGAAATTGGGTGCCTTGTTCCCCTCCTGATTTTTAGACAGGAAACTCTATTCTGCCAGTACCTCCTGAGGAATAAGGTGACCAAGACTCTATAGTTTATCCTCTAACCTGAGCCTGGTGGCAGTGTTTTATCCATTCACTGAGGAGGGTAGGGTGGGAATTGGTGACAAAAAGAACCTAGCTCACCATTCCTGCAAACGATCTAAAATCCTTTCTCTTTCTGGTCACCTTTCTATCAAGAAATACAGTTCCTCATGCCCCAGTCATGAATTTTCTCAATCTATACCCTGTCTAACACTGAGAATGAGATTGTTGGAACTGGAAGTCATTTAGCCAGTAGGTGTCAAACACAGACAACCCCATCCCAGACACACAGAAGCAGAATCTCTAGGAGGAAGAAATCTTAATTGGATTCCAACTCCTTCTTTTACAGGTGCTCCACAGACTTTAAGCCTCCTGCACTGAGTCACATACAGATAAGGTATTAGGGAATGTAGAACTGAGGCTCCCCACATAACCCTGGGGGCTCTCTTTAAGACACAAGTCTCAATACCACACTTTGCATACAGCAGCTGCTCAATCAACATCTATTGGGCAATTGAGTCTCAAAAGAATTTCTAACATAGTGAAAGGGAAACAATGACTTTTGGAATCAGGCAGATCCTGCTGTAGAAGACCACTGGCAAGATTCAGTCTCTCTGATAGTAAAATAGGGCTATCAGGGTTATCAGTGGGGATTAAACGAGATATCCTACATACATATCCTACATACCGTCTCCAGCCCAAAGCCTGGCATTTAATAAATGATAGCAGTTTTCAGTGAGAGGCAGTAGAATAGTGATAAGACCACAGATCCTGGAACCAGGTAAGTCCTAGAACTTACTATACATGCAATACTAGAAGGTTACTTTGCCTGTTTCTTCATTGGTAGGATGAGAATGTTGGTGAGGATAAAAAGAGTCAATAAAAATAAAGCACCGAGGAAATGAGTATGTGCTAGTTCTGATAATTGTATTCCTATCCCTTGCACTGGTCCTATATGTAGTAATCATATCCATATTGTATAATGCCCAGAGGAGATGTCAGAGAGGGAAAGGGGAAATGTGTCTTGTCAGTAGAAATAGCCAATGGAAAATACATGCAATACTAGAAGGTTACTTTGCCTGTTTCTTCATTGGTAGGATGAGAATGTTGGTGAGGATAAAAAGAGTCAATAAAAATAAAGCACCGAGGAAATGAGTATGTGCTAGTTCTGATAATTGTATTCCTATCCCTTGCACTGGTCCTATATGTAGTAATCATATCCATATTGTATAATGCCCAGAGGAGATGTCAGAGAGGGAAAGGGGAAATGTGTCTTGTCAGTAAAAACAGCCAATGGAAACCATGGAGCCTTCCCATCAAACTTGTCAGGCCCCTTTGAATTGCTGATCCTTTTTCTGCTCTCTGTACTTATGATTATTTGCTTCACATGCATGAACCGTGTCTCTCCTGAGAGCAGGGATCCTATCCCCATCCTGCCTCCTTGGGCAAAAGATTGGGCATCAAGTAAATACCTACTAACGACTTGCTGAGGGAAAGGAAAAAATAGAGCAGCCCTCTTGAACCTGCCCCATATCACCACCACCACCATCACAAAAACAAACAAACAAAAGAATGCCAAGCAAAGCAATACCAAGATAGATCACTTTTATCTCTATAGGAAAGGGATGATCTAAAAAAAATATATAAATTACATTAGTAACACAACATAAGAAAAAAAACAGGGGGAAAAAACAACAGAGAAGTCTGGATAACACTACTCTAACCTATTTATAAAAAGGTCCTGCATCAGAAATTCACAATCCTACCCACTTCTAAAAATATATTTAGACATGTACAGAAGCGGTGGGCTTGTTTTTAAATTGTTTGCTTTTTGTAAAAATATATTAAAGGTGAATAGAAATCCTCTCTCCCTGCCCCCTATCCAACCCCCAGTTGTGTAGTGGGGATTAGAGATCAGAGGTAACTATCTCACCATGTTCTAAACCTTGGTTACTACCATTCCCAACCCCTCCCCCCAACTCACTTCACTTAGAACCTGAAACACTAAAAAACAAAAACAAAACAAAACAATAATGCTAGCTTCTTTGGAAAAGCATAACTCTGAGGGTAAACTTGCTTTTCATTGGAAACAACATAAAACAACAAACAGGAGGCTCTAAGAACCCAACTAAACTAAATAAAACCCAGTCAAATGGAGGCTGGATTTCAGCTCCATAGAACTTCTAACAAAGGAACAGAGGTTGGAAAGAAGCCCGGAATTAGAGGAACTTGCTAGCAATTAGCTGCCTTTGAAAGATCAAGAAGGGGTGTTAATGGGCAAAAAGGCTGGGGACCTGGACTTGGTTATAGCAGTCAGTGCCTAGTCAGGCAGTTGCCTACACAGGGACAGAGACTTCTCCCGCCTTCACCTTACTACCCTCTGCTGCCTTGAAAACCCCAAGATAAGCAAAGCTTGGTAGAAACAGAGGGGAGGGAAGGAGGGACCTCACATGCTAGGGGGGAGGTAGCCAGGCTTTTAGCCTTTGGTATGACTAGGTGGAGGACTGCTTGGCCCCTAGAGTCCCCAAATTATAAAAAGCAAATTGGACTAAGGGACCTCTGATTCCAAGGAAGGAAAGCAGAGGTGGGGCTATCAAGAAAAGAAAGACAAACTGGAGATGAAACAAAGATAAAGGAAGCCTCAAAAATTCTCTGTGGCCTGCAAGGTAGGTATTAAATTCCCCAGAAGCACTGGGCAAGCTGGAGTGAGGTTGGAGCAGGGTGTAGAGGGCAAGGATATGCTCCACTTGGGCAATGCCAAAATGGAGGGGAGAGCATTCTCCACCAAGTCCAGAAGGCCAGGGAGGCAATACCGGAGGGAACTAGGAGCACTATCTGGCCAATGGAGAGGATCCACAAAGGAAAGAGAGGGAAACAGAGGATCCGCCGGTAAGAGAGGATCAGATGGTCTGTTCCTTCGCAGATGGCTGTCTCTTCTCCTAGGCCTGGGCATGTGAATGGCCCATCTGCACTTGCTTGAACAATGACCTATTGTCTGGAAGTGCAAAGGCCCAGTAGTGAAGATGTGAGTCCTGAGGTCTTCTTCAGAGTAAGACCTCAGGTGGAGAAAGCAGCATTGGAGGTTCCCAATGGAGGGCCCAGGGGCGGGAGCCCCGCCACACCCTCTCCAGAAGGTTCAGGCTGTGCTCTGTGGTAAAGGTAGAGGGAGTAGGTTGCAGGGCCAGCGTTATCTGCTTCAGTGGCAGGAGTTTCCAGGATTCCGGGAGATGATTTTTCATCTGCTGGACTCTAGCCACAGTCATATGGATAATGTTCTGCAGGACCTCAAAATCCAGGCCAATTCCTAGAGTTCACCCTGGAACAAGGGCTTCATGTGTAGCTAGCCAAAAGCAGCTTCCTCTAATGAGCTACAAAGTTATAGTCAAAGGCTTGGACATCTGTCTTCTTCCCTCCTCAAAAGGTGACAGGAATCTTCTTTCTTTCCAAGGATTAATGAAGTCAGTTTTTCTAGGCCACTTCTGGAAATGGCCTACAGCAGGGCAGTAAGGAGACTCTGGGTCATCCTCTTTATTTCATAAAACATTTGGCAAGAGGAGACAGAGACCACAGTCTTCCTCCATGATCAAGTCTAGAGGAGGGATATATCCACTAGACTAGGGGAAGGAAAGGGAAGGAAGAATGGGCAGAGGTGGGGAGGTTTCTGGAGACAGGCTGGAGTTGCAGAAAGGTTGAGCACTGGGCCTCCCATTTCACAGCCAGGGAAATATGAAGAGGCCTAGGCTCTCTTCATGCATTTCTTCCTCATGCCCTCTAGCTCTATGGGGTGACAGGAGTAAAGGACAGACAAAGCAGGCAAGAGGGAGTGGATCGGAGGAAACAGTTCTAGTCAGCTGGAAACCTCTCCCATTTAACTGTTATTCAGGGGCATGGAAAAAGAAATCAAGATGTGCTAGAGGAGTAGGGACGGGAGAAGGGGAGATTCAGTGGAGGGGTCCATGGAGGAGTTCGTGCCTTTGGTCAGTCCCAAGAAAGCAGGACAACGCGCCTCAGCACCTTGTCAGGGGCAGACAGGATCCAGAAGTGCCCCAAGAGTTGACATCAGAGAAGGCAATGGGATTGAGGGGATGAGGGTGGGACACAAGGGGGCTCACAGAAGTAGTTTGCCATTTCTGTGGATTTTCAGGATACGGCCAAGTCTCTGCTTTGCTGTGGCCAGGCCCTTTTTGGGACGCTTTCCTGTGGAGGAAGGGGAAAGTAAGCAAAGGTTATGTCAAGGGCTTCAGTAGCAATTCTGGCACTGATTGTCATCAAATCACCTCCTCTCTTGTTTTCATACTCACAAAATCTCCCCATATTTAGCCTATACTGGGCAAGAAGTCCTCCTTAACCAATTCTGAACACCACCCACATGCCTTGGCTCTTCCTCCTATGACCTCTTGCAGCAGCTATAAACTCCCTGGTTACATTTTGTCTGGTTCTTTGTCATAATTAATTTCTTTGGTCCTAACCATTTTCTTTTTAAAATTTTACAGGGAAGTAAGCTTCCATGTCCTCTTACTCTGCCCACCAGGAACGAATAAGTGCCTGGTTGGTGATGCCCTTTTGTCATTATAAACCCCAATTCTCATCAACTCCAAACTTCATACTAACCTCAGTGCCTCTGAGTTGTGTAGTCTAAGGACTGGGCTTTGAAGGCCAAAGGGAGATAAGGAGGTCCAACTCTCTCACCTCTTTCTATCTTCCCACATCAAATCACTTTCTATGTCTTCTCTGACTGTCTCTATATTTGATCAGCTCATTCCCTCCCTCTCCATCTCCTCTGCTAGAGCTAGTCTCTCTTCATTCTTGCCTGAACCTATATGTGTGCAGCCTCCGTAGAGTTTCCACCTCCATTCTGGCCACCAGAAAGATCTTTCTAAACCCAAATGTGATCATCCCTCTACTTAAAATTAGTCAACGTCTCCACAGCATGTGAAATCAAGCCTAGGCACTTAGGTGGGCCTTCAGTGTTCTCATCTACTAGAGGACTTAAGAGTTTAGAGTGGGTGGCCTAAGATCCCTCTCAGTTCTACAACCATATGGCAGCGATACCTTGTCCTGCCTGATTGCTCTGGGAGCCAACTGAAGGGCGCCGCTGAGTCAAGAATACACCGGGGGCCATCGGTGTGGTGGTACGGTTTGCCTGGGCCATGCCAAAAGCATTAGGACGAGCAGTATACTCATGGTCAGCAAGACTTCCCGACAGGGCCTCTTGTTTAGGCTCAGGAGGAGGCAGGGGTGAGGCAGAGGTGAGAAGCTGGGGAGTAGCAGCCAGAGTTGTGGCTGGTACTGGCACACTGAGATTGGAGTCTTGAGGACGAGGCTGTTCTACTTCCTTCAGTAAAGCCTTCTTCTTAATATATTTCTTCTTTTGGGCCTTCTGTAGCTCCTGAAACACAAGCCAAGTGAGAGAGAAGATTTAGGAATGGAGAAGAGAATTTTACAGAAAGAGGACCTAGACTATAGTCAATAGGATTTTGCAACCTGCCACTCCCTTATCACCACCCATCTCCTTTGGAGTTTAGACTGGAAATACTCACATTGCACAGGCCTTTCAACACCTGATATAATTTCTTTGGTGCAATCCAACCTTAAGTAATCACTGGCACTTATCAGTACAGTGATAAGAGAACTGTACATTAGTTTAAAGACTTGGGTTTCAATCCTAGTGTTGTCACTAATGAGATGAACTATAGACATTTTTAAAAATAAAAGCTAAATTTACACCAGCAGCCAACTCATTTTATCCACTTTATCTCATTTAATTCTCTAACAGCTCTAAGAAGAAAGAACCCTCATTTTACAGATGAGAAAACTGAGGTACAGAGATATTAAGTAACTTGAACCCAAGCCTCACAGGTGAAAACTAGTTGAGTACAGTGTTTAATCAAGTCTATCTGAAGACATATCAAATATCTCAATATGAAACAACTGAGAGAAGAAATATTATCAGCTTTGGAATGAGATAAACCTTAGTCAAATCAATGCTTGTGCTCCCTAAACTGGATGACTTTAGTCGAAGTTACTAACTTTTCTGAATCTCAGCTACCCCATCTGTAAAATGTGTAAAACAGTACCTTCTTTTCAGGGTTGTTAGAAAGATGAAATAAAACAATAATGTAAAAATACATAACACATAGTAGAGACTCAATAAAGCGTAAATTATGGTTCTATCTTTGTTTCTTACAACAGTTTCTCTTCCTCTTGCTGGCCTTTTTCTTTTAACAGAGGACTTCACAATTCTCCAGGTCACCAGACCTAAAAACTTCAATTTTGGATAGGAGGAACAAATAAGGAGTTGTGTCACTTCTCTCATTTATTTTAACTTCATTCATTCACTGTTCTATGAATCTACTATCCATTTCTACTGGGAACCTGTATAAAGGGCATCCAGAGTCCTGAGAACCTGCAAAGGTAGTGCTAAGAGCATGTAAATGACTTCACCTTCTGAAATGCTACACAACCACACAGACCAACTTGGCGATTATACTTCTTTGTCTTTGGTGACATAGGCCTACTATTGCCTTTGGAAGTTGTTGTTGTTTTTTGTTTTGTTTTGTTTTGTTTTGTTTTGTTTTGAGAGGTTTTTGCTATAGGGAGTGTGTGCACGCTAGAAAGACAGAGAGAAAGAAAGCAAGAAATCACCCCCCAGGGGGGATGGCCACGTCACAGTCCCTTCTCCTACATTCTCCTCTTGGGATCTTGGGCACACACACACATGCACATGCACCCAGCGTGAGTTTAAGCCACCAGATCTTGGATTCGAACTGCAGTCAACTACATGGGAGTTCAGCAACATAGACATTACGCTAACTGCTGGTCCCACCTTTGGAAGATTTGACAGGCTGTGGCTACCAGAGGAATTTCTGGGGGCTAAGAATAATATTAGTAATACATGCCAGGCACTGTTTTATAATTACTCATTTAATACTGGTAAGAACTTGACAGGTAAGAATTATAATCTCATTCTAAGGATGAAGAAATTGGTATAGAGAGTAAGTAATTTTCCTAAGGTTACAGGACCAATAAATGGCCAAATTGGAATTCAGACCCAAGCCATCTGGCTTTGGAATTTCTTCTTTCAGCCACACTGCTATTCCACCCATACTAGGCACTGTACTTCTATCCCCTTCTCTCTCAACTGACCCCAGAAATTAATGCTTTAGAATTAGATCACTTAGCTTCAATTTTCTGCCTTTGCTACCCATTTCTTTCATATATAATTCATCCATATATTACCACAAACAACTAGACTATCTCATAGCAGGGCTGCTTTCACTATGCCAATTCCCTTGCACAATTTTTTATTAGCAGGATCCCAACCAAGTTATTCCCTAACCTGATATTCATTGTCTCTTACAGTCTGGCCACTTATAATAATAATGACAAAACTCATAATAATAATGACAGAAACCTAACATGTCTATACTATTTACTCTATACCATGTGCTAGTCTAAGAGGTTACACCTCATTTAATACTGAGACAAAATCCATGAGGAAATCACGGCAAGAAGAAAAAAAGTAACTTGCCCAAGTAAGTTAGGATTTGAACCCAGACTCCAGCATGCATTATTTTGACTTATTTTTTTCATTAGATTTTTGCCATAAGGGGCATGTGTTCACTGGAGAGAGAGACAGAGAGAGAGTGAAAGTGAGAAATCACCGCCCCCCCCCCCAAGGGAGATGACCATGCCACAATCTATTCTCCACCATTCTCTTCTTAGGATTTTGGGTATGCACACACACACACCCAGTGTGATTTTCAAGTCACCAGTTCTGGGACTTGAACCATCGCTGACAGTGTGGGAGTTCAGCACCTTAACCACCATGCCACCTGCTGGACCCACCATTACTTATTTTTGTATTGTTAAGGGTTTTGCCATAGGGTGTGTATGCTCAATGGAGAGAGGGAGAGAGAGAGAGAGACACTGAGAGGAAAAGTAAGAAATCACCTCCCAGGGGGATGGCTACACCACAACCCCTTCTTCATTCTCCTCTCAGGATTCTGGGCACACACACACTCGGTGTGATTTTCAAGCTGCCAGATCCAGAACTCGAACCATGGTTGGCCATGTGGGAGTCCAGTGCCTTAATCACTACACCATCTGCTTGCCCCCACCATTACTGATTTTAACCTGATCCCCAAAATAAAGCCATCAACCCAGAAATATCTAATCATTCCTTCACTCACCCCAACACTGACTATATAAACACAAGTGCTTACCATGGTGAGGATACCAACCTAACTATATCCCCACTTGAAGACATATTTTAAACTCTGGAAGAAACATAATTTGGCGAAGATTATCCTTAAAATATCCTTGCCATACTTGGCAAGATTATCTTTAAAATGAGAAGAAGAAATTCAATTGTTCCCAGGTAAACAAAAACTGAAAGAATTTAATAATGTACTCTTCCAGAAATACTTAAGGAAATGCTACATCAAGAAAATTAAAAGGAGAAAACAGACATAGGAGAATGCCAAACAACGAAGAACGTTACTAATAAAATGGCAGGAAAAATTCCACAACTATCAATAATAACATTTAATGTTAATGGATTAAATTCCCTTAAGTATTTCAGATTATCTTTAAAATGAGAAGAAGAAATTCAATTGTTCCCAGGTAAACAAAAACTGAAAGAATTTAATAATGTTAGTTAAACTCTTCCAGAAATACTTAAGGGAATGCTACATCAAGAAAATTAAAAGGAGAAAACAGACATAGGAGAATGCCAAACAACGAAGAACGTTACTAATAAAATGGCAGGAAAAATTCCACAACTATCAATAATAACATTTAATGTTAATGGATTAAATTCCTCAATTAAAATAAGCAGATTGGCTGAATGGATTTAAAAACAGGAACCTTTGGGGCTGGCAGGTGGTGGTGTGGTTAAGGACCACCACATGGCCGGGGCCAGCAGGTGGCGTGGTGGTTAAGGGTGCTGGATTCCCACATGGCCAATCACGGTTCGAGTCCTGGACCTGGTGGCTTGCTTTCTCACTTTCTCTCTCTTTCTCTCACTCTCACTCTGTACTCTGTCCCTCTCTGGTCAAATAAAAATGAATAAAATAAAATAATTTAAAAATTGAGGACCATCACATGGCCAACCACAGTTAAGAGTCTGGACCTGGTGGCTTTCTTTCTCAGTCTCCCTTTCTCTCTGTCTGTTACTCTCTGGTCAAAATCGAAGAATAATAATAAATTAAATTAAATGAAAGAGTCTATGAGAGTCCATGCCTGGTGTTTGGAATGGGGGGTCGATGCTGGCCAGGGGACTCTAGAGTCTATCTGCGTGACTGTAGGACTTCACAGTTGTGTGGAAGGAAAACTAAGTCCGTTCAGTGGTGTAGGAATCTTCACTTAAGAGTTTCTTGTGGGGGGAACCAGCAGTTAGCGTAATGGCTATGTCGCTGGACTCCCATGTAGTCGACCGCAGTTCGAGTTCCACACCCGGTGGCTTAAACTCACGCCAGGCGCGTGTGCGTGCGTGCCCAAGATCCTGAGAGGAGAATGGAAGAGAAGGGATTGTGGCGTGGCCATCCCCCTGGGGGGTGATTTCTCGCTTTCTGTCTCTGTATCTCTCTTTCTCTGTCTGGTGAGCGCACGCACCCTTTAGCAAAAATCTCTCCAAAAAAAAAAAAAAGCCTGGAGTCATAAAAGTGTTATTAGACAAAATAGACTTTAATACAAAAACTGTAAAAAGAGACAAAGAAGGACACTACATAGTATCAAAATAATTAATTCACCAAGAAGATATAAGAAAGGTTAATATTTATGCATCTAACACCAAGGCATCAAAATATTTAAAAGAAAGACTACTAGAACTAAAGGGAGAAATAGACTGTAACACATTAATTGTTGGGAACTCCATCACCCTACTGTCACCCCTGGACAGGTCATCTAGACAAAAAATAAACCAAGAAACATAGGAGTTAAATGATACCATAAAGCAAATGTACCAGAAAGACATTTATAGAGCATTCACACAACAACAAAAATCTACATTTTTCTCAATGCCACATGGAATATTTTCAAAAATCAACCTCATAACAGGCCACAAAACAAGTCTTTACAAATTTAAAAGTATAGAAACTACATCCACCACTATTCTGACCACAATGGAATGAAATATAAAATCAACAACAGAAAGAGGCTTCAAAAATACACCAAAACATGGAAACTAAACAATTTACTCCTAAGCAACTTCAAAATGACTGAAGAAATTAAGATTGAAAATCAAAAGATTTAATGAAATCAACAATAATGAACACATGACTTTCTGCAATCTTTGAGAAACAGTGAAAGGAGTCGTAATAGGAAAGTTCATAGCAATTAGTGCTCAAAAGAAAAAAAAATTAGAAAGATGGCAAATAAATAACCTAATGACACTCCTCAAGGAATTGGAAAAACAACAAAAATACCAGAAGGAAAAAATAATCAAGATTAGAGCAGAAATACATTAACTAAAAAAAATAATAATAACTATACAGAAAATAAACCCAAAAGCTGATTATTTGAGAAGATAAACAAAACTGACACAGCATTAGCTAGACTAATCAAGAAAAACAGAGAAAAGAACTAGATAAACTCAGTAATGAAACAGATACTATTACAACAGAAATACAAAAGCTCATGAGAGCATACTACAAGTGACTATACACCCACAAACAAGAAAACCCAGATAAGATGGACAAATTTCTGGACACAAAATTTACCTAGGTTGAACTAGGAAGAAAAAACCTTAATAGAACAGTAACAAGCAATGACACTAAATCAGTAGTAGGCTCCCAACAAGTAAAAGCTCAGGTCTTTATGGATTCATTTCTGAACTCTACAAAACTTTTAAAGAAAACCCCAATTATCCACAAAATATTTCTAAAGATCCAAAAAGAAGGAACTCTCCAAAATGTATTCTATGAAGCCGCCATCATCTTGATCCCAAAAGCAGACAAGGACATAAAAAAAGAAAACTACAGACCAATATCCCTGATGAATACAGATGAAAAAGTTCCAAACAAAATACCAGTAAACCAAATCCAACAGCACATTAAAAAGGTTATACACCATGACCAGGTAGGTTTTATCCCAGGGATGAAAGGGTGGATCATCATATGAAAAACAATAAATATAAAACATTACATGGAAGGAAAGATTTTTAAAAATGTATGGTCATATAAGTTAATGCAGAAAAAGCATATGATAAAATGCAACATCCCTTCATGATTAGGACTTTTAATTAAACAATTATGGAAGATATATTTTATAACACAATAAAATCCACATATGATAATCCTATTGCTAACACCACACTGGATAGAGAAAAGCTGGAAACTTTCCCAATAAAAACTGGAACAAAAAAAAAGCTATCCACTTTCTCCACTCTTTTTCAACATACTGCTGGAAATCTTAGCCAATCAGACAAGAAGGCATTAATAAAAGGCATTTAAATTGGAAAAGAGGAAGTGAAACTCTATTTGCAGAGAACATAATTATATTAAAACATCTAAAATAATAAATTAAAAAACTCCCAGAAGTGACAAAACATTTTGGTAAAGTGGCAGAATACAAAATCAGTATACAAAAATCAATAGCATTTTTATACACCAACAATGAATAGACTGAGGCAGAAGTGAAGAAAGTAATTCCATTTACAAAAGTTACAAAAAAACCCTAAGGTACACCTAGGAACAGACTTAACCAGAAAGGTGAAAGACCCCTACAAGGAAAACTGAAAAACTAAACAGAAATGGAGAAAGATACACAAAAGTGGAAACTTATCCCATGGCTCTGAATTAGAAAAATTAATATAATCAAAATGTCAATTCCACCCCAACTGATTTACAAATTCAGTGGAGTTCTGATCAAATTATTCCTGACATTCATCACATAAAAAAATCATGAAATTTGTTTGGAATCATAAAAGACTCTGTATCACCAAAGCAATATTACACCAGAAGAATAGGTGGTATTTCACTATTTAACCTCAAAATATATCACAAAGCTTTAATAATCAAAACAGCATGTTACTGGCACAAAAACAGACATATAGAATGGAACAAGATAGGGAATTCAGAAATAAATCCTAAAACATGCTGCCAAAGTGATCTTTGACAAAGGGTACAAGACAATCTAGTGAAGTACAAAAAAGTCTTTTCAGCAAGTGGTGCCAGAAGAGCTGGATATCCACCTGCTGAAAAATGAAACTGGACCCCGTTTCTCTCAGTGTGAAAAATCAAATCAAAATGTAGCAAAGATCTAAATGTAAAGCCTCAAACTATAAAACTACTGATGGAAATTAAGGGTAAACACTTGAAGACAATGGAGTAGGCAAATATTTCTTTAATAAGAAACCTAAAGCACAGGCAACAATTCCAACATAGATGAGTGGGATTACTTCAAACTAAAAAACTCCTGCACATGGGACCAGCATGAACTTGCATGTAGTCGACCGTGGTTCGAGTCTTAGGCCCAGTGGTTTAAAACTCATGCTGGGCATGTATGCATGCATAACCAAAATTCTGAGAGGAGAAAGGAGGAGAAGGGGTTGCAGTGTGGCCATCTCCCCTGAAGGGTGATTTCTCGCTTTCTGTCTCTCTGGTGAATGTATGCACCCTATAGCAAAAAGTCTCTTATTAAAAAAAAAAAAAGCTTTCTTCTTCACAGCAAAGGAAACAATAATTAAGAGTGAAAAGACAACCCTCAGAATGGGAAGAAATATTTGCAAACTATGTTCCAGATAAAGAATTGATAAACAGAATAGATAGGAAACTCAAGCAGCTCACTTGCAAAAACTGAAAAATGGGAAAATGTGCTGAATATATAACTCTTTAAGGAAGACTCACAAATGGCCAAAAGTATATATGGAAATATGTTGAATAAGATGTCTCTTATCATAAGAGACACACAAATCAAAACCACATTGAAATAAATAAATAAATAAATAAAAGTTTGTGGGAGGAAATAAACCACATTGATATACCACTGAACTTCACTGAGAATGGCTATGATCAAAAAATAAAGAATGACAAGTTCTGGTGAGGTTGTGGTGAAAAGGTAACCTTCCTACACTGTTGGTGGAAGTATAAATTAGTCCAGCCACTGTGGAAAACAATATGGAGGTTCCTCAACCATTTACAAATAGAACTATCACATATGATCCAGTAATCTCACTCCTTAGTATTTACCCAAAGGACAGGAAAACACTCCATTGAAAAGGTTATCTGCACATCCATGTTTATTGCAGCATTATTCATAATTTCTAAGGCATTTAATTAATATAAATGCCCAATAACTGATGACTGGATTGAAACAATATGGCACATATACTCTATGGAACACTACTCAGTCATAAGGAAAAATCAGACCTTGTCATTCATCCATTGGATGAATATAGAAAATTTAATGCTAAAAGAAACAAGCCATTTATGAAGATTAAATATTGTATATCCCCACTAAATATATACTAAAATGTCTGTGGTCTATGGCAGAAATTGAAAGATTCAAAGATATAACAGGGAGGGGAAGTGTAGGTACCAGAGAGTGTATGAGAGGAGGGTTGGGACCAGCAGTTGGCATAATGGTTATGTCGCTGGATTCCCATGTAGTCGACTGCAGTTCGAGACCCGGAGCCGGTGGCTTAAACTCACACCAGGCTCATGTGCGTGCATGCCCAGGATCCCAAGAGGAGAATGGAGGAGAAGGGATTGTAGTGTGACCATCCCCCCTGGGGGGTGATTTCTCACTTTCTGTCTCTGTCTTTCTGTCGAGCATACGTGCCATATAGCAAAACCCTCTCAAAAAAAGAAAAAAAAAAGAGAGAGGGAGGAGGGTGGATAGTTGGTGGGGGAGGACTTAGGGAAAAACATTTAATAAATACAAGAAAGTAAATTTCTGTGTTGAAATAATATATATGGTAGTATTTTTTAATAATTATTTTATTTTATTTAACTTTATTTGTTTATTTTTTTAATTTGACCAGAGGTACAGAGAGAGAGCGAGAGTGAGAAAGTGAGAAGGCAAGCTTCAAGGTCCGAGATTCCAACTGTGGTCAGCCATGTGAGAGTCCAGCACCCTTAATCACCATGCCACCAGCTAACTCAGTATTTTTTATTTGAATGTCATGTAATGATGCATGCTTTGAAAAACCATATTGTACATTATAAAGATGTACAAAGATTACGTGTAACTAAGAACTCATTTTTTAAAAATCCCCATTCTTGAAATATATGTAACTTAATATGGGACATATAGAAGTATACTTATGATCATAAGTACCATGAGGGAATGCTATGGAAACATAGAAGAAAGACACTGAAATTAAGTAGTGGTAGGTAGTAAAAAAGGGTATTAAGTAAGGCATCTGAAAGGTCACAATTCCAATGAGCAGAAGGAACATCTTGTGCAAAGGCACCCAGGCATAAGAAAACAGATACACTGAGTACACTATCAGCACCATAGTATAGTTGGGCTGATGTAAAGGGTGTGCATGAGGGGTTAGCAGGAGGTCCAGGAGGAGGTGACTAGAGACCAAATCAAGAGGGCCTTGTATACTAAGGAGTTCTCTTTTGGAATGCCTCCCTGCCCCCTCCCAAAAGCTTGGCCTGCAAAACCCTTCCCCAGTTTTAAAACCTCTTCTCTGAAATCCTGTTAAACCCAGAGGTAAGCTCCTTAGAAGGCACTAGGAGTAGTTTTAACACCTTTAATTAATTTATGTTTATTTAAAGTAGTAGAACCTTCTTTTTTCAAATTACATCTTACATGGTACTGAAATATACATAACAGAGATGCTATGGCCAAAGAAGGGCCATCTGGTCTGCTTGGCCTCTGTTGGCTCCCCACAATAGCCCCTGAGACATTTCTAAGCAACTCTAGAGCTCCATAGAACATCATATGAAAAACAACATTCTATTAAATTTTACTTAAGTAGGAAATAAATACTGTAGTATATAAACATTTAACTATTTATTTTTAAATTGAAAGTAACGTGACATTTGAAGTTAGAAGATATGAGTTTGAATCTTGTCTCCTTCATTTACTGGCTGTATTATCCTGGACTAGTCACTTACAGAGAGCCTCATTTTCTTCACCTGTAAAATGATGAAAATATCACCCATTGAACAGGGATATTGGGCAGATTACATTAAACATTGTACATAGAAGCATCTAACATAAAGCAGATGCTCAATAATGCTGTTAGTTATAAGATGTGGCAAAGGAATAAAGGGAATATTGATATGGAGAGAACTAGAAGATTTGCCTCCAAATCCTCCAGGGATTGCTAAGGACATTATACACATTAAAGAACTTTGTAAATTATAATGCTAGGAGGTAAACTTGATTCCAATAACAAAAAACAGTGGTGAAATTTTCTTGAGAAGCAAGGGATGAAGATGAAGGTTCAGTCAGCCCTCTGTATCATGAGTTCTGCATCCATAGATTCAACTAACCACAGACTGAAAATATTTGAAAAAAAAAATGGTTGCATCTGTACTAAACATGTACAGACTTTTTCTTTGCCATTATTCCCTAAACAATACAGTACAACATCTATGTACATATCATTTTCATTGTATTAGGTATTATTAGTTATCTAAAGATGATTTGAAGTGATTTAGAAGGATATGTACAGGATGTAAGCAAATGCTAAGCCATTTTACATAAGGTACTTCAGCATCCATGGATTTTGGTATTTGCAGAGAGTGCTGAGTTCTGAAACCAATCTCCCATTAATATTGAGAGATGACTATAACAGTATTTTGTAAGGAGGACAAGAAAAAAAAAAAAACTCCAATAGATCAAATTCCAATACTCATGGGTGGCTGGGAACTTAAATGCACTCAGCTAAATCATCTCCTCAGGACTTCATCTAAGGGCAAAGGACTTATCTGGTCTTCCCCATCTGAGGTTTATACAATACCAAGAAAGGCAAATATAACCAAGGGCTTTTCTTTAGTACCATATTTACTTTGATCCTAACTCACATAAACCGTTCAACCTGTGGAACTACTTATCATTGAGTTGGGTTGTGAAGGATATGAGGAATATCAACATGGATAAAGATCAAAGGTTATCCACTCCCACTGAGATAATAGTAGGATACTGAGTCTGAAGGTCTGAGTTTTAAAGTTTCAAACTGGCACGAGTGGCAGGGCCATGACCTGAGTGTCTGCACCTACCTGCTGGGCCAGTTTTGCAGCTGCTGCAGCCAACCCTGTCTCAATGGAGGCTAACCGAGTCCCCTCACGTACAGGGGGGTCCTGCTTTGGTAGAGTTGGGGTCACACGAGCTGCAAGGAAAACAGGATGAGAAGTGATGTTCTCAAAGACATTTGTTTTAAATGCCAGCCATATTATCCACCTCTAAGCTCCCCAAAGGTGGTCTCATTGGTCTTCCTGCTTCTAGCATTTTACAAAGCCAGATTTTGCTTCCCATCAGGTAAGAAGCTAATTCACAAATGCCCAAAGCACACACTGAAATTAAAGGATAAAAGTAGAACTCTCTAAATTGACATTTAAGTCATCCATGTTCTTCTGTTGGTCTACTTTACCTCTATAACCTTATTTCCACACTCAAAATTCTCAGCTTCTCCAGACAGATGTCTTCCTTATTATACCTCCAAAATATATACAGATCATCCTCTCTCTGTGCTTTCACCCTCACCATTCGCACTGCTTAGAGCATGCATTTCCCTTTTCTCTGCCTATTCAAAACCTGTCCATCCTTCAAACGTAAGCTGGAATCAATCTCCTATGCAAAACCTCTAGGACTTCTCTGGTCACTAGCCTTTCCTTTCTTCTGAACTTACAGTATCTACAAGTCACTTGATATATAGTACATAATACCTTGTCTCATTCTCTATTGTTGATGTGTGTTATGTTGTTTATCATTACATCTCAGAGTTCCTGAAGAAGACCGTCATCTCATATAACTCACAATACTGCACTGACAACCTTGAATCAAAAAATAGTTAGTCATCCCACCTTTTCAACAGAAAGTCTATTTCAGAATAACCAAATAGCCTCAGTTGATGAGGGATAGTTCTTCTTTACAGAAGTATGTCACTTAATACGTGTACATGGAATGACTGAATTAGAAGATTACAAATTTGCAAGCCCTAATGAAACTACTGATTCTAGGAAATTGGATATTCACACAGTACCAAAATACTACCTCACAGATTACTTGCTAGTCTCAAGAAGAAAAATCTAACTTTACTATGGTGAGATCAGGAGACTACCACTTTAAGTGCCAGCTTTTGTGATATTAATAGTGAATAAGATAACACGATTTCACGTGTCTCTTGCTGTGATGGAATAGAAAATTCACAACAGCAGAAGAACAAGTTAAATGACACCATAAGAAAACAAGCAGGGGGCTAGCAGGTGGCATGGTGATTAAAGGTGTTAGACTACAACATGGGTGACCACAGTTCAAGTCCTAGACCTGGCAGCTTGCTTTCTCACTTTCTCTCTCTGTCTCTGGTAAAATTAAAATAAATTTATAAGTAAAGTTAAAATAATTTTTTAAAAAAAGAAAACAAGCAGACATACTACAAGATAACTGGCCTTATCTATTAAAGGCAATGTCACGAAGAATCAAATAGATTGATCTACAAGGTAAACCATGCCACAGGGAAATTATATAAGTTTCTACAACAAAACAGTAACTTTAAAAAAGGCAAAACTTCAGGACCAGCAGTTGGCATAATGGCTATGTTGCTGGACTCCCATGTAACCGACCATCATTCAAGTCCTGGACCCAGTGGCTTGAACTCACACTGGGTGTGTGTGCGTGCATACCCAAGATCCTGAGAGGAGAATGGAGGAGAAGGAACTGAAGGAACTGCAGCATGGCCATCCCCCCTGGGGAGTGATTTCTCACTTT